AATTTATTATTATGTTATTTATTAAATTATAAGATAAAGGATAAAAATGGGACTCCTAACAACCGTACAAGACCTGGTTGACCACCAAAACTATCCTTATCACATAAACATACTTAAAGAGGAAATAATCACCACACTTGCTTCAGATCTAAAAAAAAAATCAACAGGTTTTTTTGTCCATCCTTCTACTGTGAGGAGACAACACAACACTGAGTTTGAAAGGATGTTTAGCTGTCAAGAAGCCCTTACTGAGAAAAGAAAATAGATAAAGTAAAAAAAAAAAAAAACATTTGCAAATCAAACACTATATCGACAGAGTCCAGATCTCAACATCATTGTGTTTGGGTTTACTTGGATCATGAGAAGCAGAATATGCAACCAACGTCTAAGACTGAACTTTTGAAGTCCTTTTCTTCTTTGACCTGGAGAACACAACGGCTATTATTTCCAAAAACAATTTGAAAGGTGGACTCATTAGAACACAGCACTCATTTACACTTTGTGTCAGTCTATCTCAGATTAGTTTTAGCCCAGAGAAGTTGGTGGCGTTTCTGGAAGTTGTTGATATATGGCTTCTGCTTTGCATAGCAGAGTCTTAACTTGCATTTATAGATGCAGTGAAGAACTATGTTTACTGACAAGGGTATTCTGACGTACTGCTGAGCCCATGTGTTTATATTCATAACAGAAACATGTACGTTTTTAATGCAGTCAGTGATCAAAAGTAACAGGTATTCTATGTTAAAATTGCCCTTAACGCTTAGGGATTTTTCAGGATTTGCTGAATGTTTGAATAATCTTATGGACTGTAGAAAGTGAATTGCCTGAATTGCGTACGATCATGCGTTGACAAAATGTTGGACTTTTTCGCTCACACAGTTTTTCACAAAGTGGTGACTGAGCCTTATGTGAATGCTCCTTTTTTGTACCCAATCATGATAGCATCTAGTTACTTTTTCACAGGTGTTTTTGGTCATTCCACAAACATCCTGGTCTTACATTACCCCATTTCCAACTTTTTTGGAATGTGTTACAGGCATCAAATTTTGAATTGGTGTGTATTTACAAAAATTAATGAAGGTAAAATATGAAATAATGTGTTTTGTACTGTTTTCAGTTAAATACCTGTAAAAGACTTTTTATTTGCATTTTATCTACTGTCACAACTTTTTCGCAATTGGGTTTCTAAGTTTTCTGTATTTTTCTGACACTGAAAAATGAAAGACTTGTACTTAATATCTGTTTTGCCTGGAAATTGAATACATGAAGGGTGGTCTCTGACCTCTACACAACTCTGTATACAAACATTAAACTATCCAGGCACAGTGGGGCAGACGTGTGTGTCTCGCCCTTTTCATGAAAAGGAAATGGGCATAGTGGAACGTGACTGGTTTATCAAGCGTGACAACTGGGGGAGGACTTGTGGGGAGGTTGCTGTGAGGTTAAAACCTGTGTAGTGCTGCCAAACTCAAACAAACCACAGCCCACTGATAGACTGGAACAATGCAGGCGGAACACACTTGCTCTTTTAGTATATCTCTCTCTCTCTCTCTTTCTCTCTATCTCTCTCTCACACTCTGTAACTGACCAGGTCAGTCACCTGGATCATTCCCTGTTCCATTCATGAGTGGAACCGTTCTATGTTGGGAGGTATGTGTCTGTGTTTGATGTCGGTGTGTAGCCGTGTCTGTGTGCAGATTGTAACTGGCAGGGATGCCCTGCAGGAGCCAGCTCAGGCTTTGAATCCCACTTCAAACAGGAATGATAAAATAGAGGAAAGCAGATAGGAAGCACACAAACCTTTTTCATTTTAATTAGAAAAGGAGCAATTAGACCCATGAGCCCTCCTCTCTCCTGCATCAGGCCTTTAAAGTGATAGCACACGGTTCACGCTGGACTGAATCAGGTACCCCTATCAGCAGGAGATCTCGGCTGTATTAACTTGCAGTGGATTACATTAGATACAGTACTTTAAACAATGAGCCAGTCCAGCCAAAACATTGTACCAGAATGAACTTGTGTGAAAAGTTAAACACCTTTTACACTGTTGTGTAAAATAAAATGCAACTAAGTGCCCGAAATTACTCTGATACTTGGATTGTTACAGAATTAAAGAGAACAATTTATCAGCGCTTACCTGTATATATTTTTACCTTCTGTAATGATGAATTGGACACAGGCATTTGCTGTAATTGCACATGCCCTGAAGAGCTGTTTTCATGGGTGAGACTAAGTAGCACTTCTTGGTTAGCATAACAAGAAGAGTGTGAGTGGTAGGGCAGTACTTTGTTTATTGTTGTCGCTAAGGTAAGGTAATAATGCAGGGCATGTAACATTGTATGTGTTACGTATTCAGGATACAAAAAAGGTAACTGTATAATGGTAAAGCTATGGGATAATAATCAGGTACAGTATGAAAATAGGGTGATTACCAGCAGGATTACATTCAAACTGCATACAATCTATACAAATTTTTGTTCTGCAGTGTTTTCTTAATGATATCTGAATCAGGCACCTTTTTTCCATATCGCCTGATACTACAGCAGTAAATTGATCTGGAAATAAGCTATTTTATTCTTGTTTGCTGCTGTGTAATATTGTACAGTTCACTGGCTATAAATCAGTGATCTTGCTTATAAATCAATGAATTTGCCAGGTTTTAATGCTTTAATGCTGAGCTAACGTTAACCAACAGATGCGAAACATGAAAAGAAAGTCTTGTGAGCTGTAAAGTTGGTTTCTTTTTCATGTTTTTTTTCCAATATTTTTCCAATTGTTATGGATGCAGAATGTTAATATGTTCAAATCATGATTATTTGCGACTAAAACAGTCAGCTAGTTAGCTAGTGTTGTGTAGAAGTGAATGCACTTTTTAACTGGTACACATTCATATTTGTGTGCTGCTGTACCTGCTGAAAGTGAAGAGAGCGTCTACAAGGTACATTGCAATCAGTGATCGTCGAAGTCCAAGCATGACGTAGTAAACTCAAATGATTTTTGTCTCTATTTTTAGTTATTGTTGATGAGGGGTCTCTAAGTAATGTGTCAGATTGATCTTTTGACTGTGGTACTATAAGCAACAGAGAGCAGTTTAGTTTCTATCACAGCTTTTATTCTCATAGTTAATCAGACCCTACGAACTGAGTCATTCTACAGTCATTACTTGTTTCCAGTGTTTTAGTCCCAGAGCTTTTTTAGTCTTAGTGAGCTTGAATTTTAATTTTACTGATAAGATCACTCATTTTCTAGGGGGCTATTTCTTGATTTCCAAACTTGTCACTGCTCACAAGTATAAATGGCTAAACTCACACAGTTTATATTGTACAACTTTCGTCTTTGTCATCTTTATTTTGTAAAATTTCCATATATTGCTTCACCTCCTCATTTTAGATTTGGCCATTTCACTAAACGTGAGGTTAGTGCCCATTTCTGTGAGGCACAATAGAAGCTGCTGATGTCCCCACCTTCTCTCCACATCTGATTTGAATACTTGATTTTTGGTTGGGCTTATACACAGTACCCATAAAACCCAGATAATTAAGTCACCTTAAATCTATCATTCTGTTTCATGAACAGTTCACTTTTCCTGTTTGCCTTGTGTTAAGTTGAAGTCTTGTTTTTCTCTTGTCGTTTATTTAAGTATATGACTTTAAAAAGACAAGAAATCTTAAAATAACAAAAAGTAATCAGATTACATTACTTTAAAGTCGTAATCCTTTGGATTAGGTTATAGATTTAATTTTTTAACAGGTAATCAGTAATCTGTACCAGGATACATTTTAGCACTTTTCCCAATCCCGGTTATTGCAATATTAGCCTTTAGCTTTAGGTTGATTACCTGGATGGATGGATGGATGGATGGATGGATGGATGGATGGATGGATGGATGGATCTTTATTGTCATTGTTTAAATACAATGAAAAAACGTTTAGCAGCTCTGGAACTGACAGAAAGGACATAAATAAAAAAGAAAATAAAGGCCCAAGACATAAACACAATATGTAGTGATAATAATAGTATAACAAATAATAGTGATCAACAGTTTGACTGTCTTTGTTCATTTTATTTTATTAACCTATGAATATAAAACCCTAAAATGTACAAACTGGCTCATTAGCTATCTTGCATCTTAGCTGCTGATACCTAGTAGCTCAAAGTTTGAATTCAGGCTTAAATAAACAAATAACTCACTGCCTCTTCTCTAAAGGTGCTATAGCACCAGTCTAAATTTAACTTTTGTTGTTTTTGTAAAACCCATAACTTGTGTTAATAAATCTGTTTTCTGCTTTCTTTTAATTATATGAATTTGCCCTAACTCAAATGATGATAAGGCACCCCATTGATGGTCTGTTTGTTGTGGCACAAACATATGATTGTGAAAGCTAACAACTGTAGATAATAACTGCAGTCAGCTAATAGCTACACTAAGTTATGGGGATTCGGAGACCTCATTGTTGTAATACAATGTTATAATAGAACATTTGTGTCATGGGATGTGCTTTGGACCCCTCCAGAGTGGATGAATCTGATCATTGTGAGCATGTTTAGGGAGCATTCAAAGAGAACTCAGTCAAAACTTGGTGAAGGACGTGTCTTCAGAGGATGTGAGTGAATTATCTACTATTGTCATCACATCTTCATCAGCATGGTTGATTTTGCATTTGAGACCTAAACACCGAGCCTTCTTTTTGAGTCTGTACATGCAACTTTAACTGAGAATGATGTATGATGTGGTCTGAAAAACTCAGACAATATCCAACCCGACCCCTTTCACTTTTACACAATTATTTCAGGCTTTTCAGGGCGACTCACAGCAGCACACACTCTCCGTATTTTGGTCAACTTTTAACCATGTTACATAAAGGATTCACTAATGTGTTTTTGATATGTCATAAGTTATATTGTCTTTGCAGTATGTAGCTGTGTAATCACAATATGGAATTTCATCCACAGTGTGTGGTCCTATTCAGTGGTAAATTCATGATTGTGGTTGTGTGCAGGAGGCAACAAGCTGAAGAACCAGCAGTTCCGGCTGACCTGGGCCTGGATCTCTCTGGAGAAAGAGTACTACCTGGTGGATGAAGAGGCCAAAGTGCAGGAGGTGGTGCTGAAACGCAGGGGCTATCTCGGAGAAACGTCTTTCGTTAGTAAGTGTACAATTCATCTGTCATTAGAATGCTCTCAAAAATAAAAGCCCCAAAAAGGGTTATTGGAAGGATGGTGTAGAAGAATAACTTCTGGTTCCATAAACAGCCTTGGATGGTTCTGTAAAGAGACTTTTTCATAAATGAGAAATGTGAATGTGACAAACTTTTTAAAGGCTATAGAATCTTCACATGATGCCCAGCTTCCAATGAAAGAATTTTCCCTGAACCTTACAGCTGAGCCAAAAATTACTTTTCTATTTGTAAAGGGCCCATATAGGCCTTAAAGGCTGATATAAGATAAATGATCTCTTCTATTGCTCTCAAAGCTCAAACGCACCTTAAAAATTCAATATGAGTGGGCAGGGCTAAACTGAATAGGTGGATAGATGTAAATGTGTTCATTTTGTGACATCATAAATAACGATGAATTTGAAACAGGCTGTTTTTGAAACTTAGTTTCTGTGTGTGGACTTTATGGACTGAGGAGTGAATGATATGTTTTGAAACTTAAGCAATGTTTTCATTTTACTCCAGACTTCTTTATTTAAAATAGTGTGGAAAAGTTGGTTTTCTGTGACATGGGCCTTTTAAAAGTTTAAATATACAGGGTGATTAAAAAAAAATACTTTTTATTCCTTTTTTATTTGTGCTTAATACTTAATATCAGTACACCTAAACACATTATTTATCACTGAGTTAACACTGATGTCTGTAGTCATTCACTCCCATAATCCATATATCGAAACTAAGCTGCAAAAACAACCTGTTTTCAGTTGATTGTGTTTTGTGTTTTTGTGTGTCACAAAAAACAATTAATTCAAATAATGCATATTGCTGTTTTTGGAAGAAAACCTTATATCCCCAAAATGATAACTTTACAGGAAGAGGAAAAAAAACTACTTTAATTTTGATGTAAGTCTATGGAACCAGACTTTTTCCTAAGATGTTTTGTGCCGTTTCTTTTAGTCCATTCTTCATGAAACTTACACAGAATGTAAAGAGCGACAGGTATTTTCAAATTATGTCAAAAACTGAAAAACAACAAAAATGGAGATACAAGGTTTTCTTCTGACAGCAGCGATATATCTGGCTATTAAAGGTGATCTCCACTGATTTTTCAAAAATTCTGCATAATTAAATGGTTAACATGTAAACAAAGTCATTCAGAGTAATTTAGTGTGAAATGCCTAATGAGTAATAGGAACCAGGTATCTGAAGAGTTTAAGGCCTCTAAAAGCTACATCACAGAAAATTATTGCATTAAATGGCTATGAATACAGTAGTTTTGAGATATGTTTTTGGTCTAAAACGTGTTTTAATCAATTTATTCTAATTTGTTCATGGTGGAGGGATACATGAAGTGTGGCATGCACTTCAAGGCAAAATAGTCCAGAAGACTTGTGTACGTTGGTGGTTTTGGATATATACCACTGAATTATCCAGACATTTTGAAAAATTGGTGGAATTTCCCTTTAAGCCTACAGCAGTTTAGCTCTGCCTTCACACAGAGCACACAATCATTATAAATGGACTTCAAGTGAAAAAAAAATAACATGCAAGAAACATATAGGATGAGTGCCCTTTAAAGGAGAAAAACAGCTTCTGAAAGTAATGAGTTTCATGTTTATGAACTTCGGTATTGAAAATGAAGGCCGTATTGTAGAAAGGCCACTGACCTTAAGACCTGAAACTCATTAAAAAGCATTTATCAAAGCTGATCCAGTTCCTGCCCTTAGAGCCATTATAAGTTAGCCATCTTAGCAAAGCAGATTTTATCCTTTGAAATGAGTCACAGCCTTACTTTACCTCTTAACTATGCCTGGACCAGAGCAGCGTCTCTGCTCTGTGAGTATTCAGAGACCCTTTACGTTACCGTCACTATTCAGTCCCCTGAGGGCAGTGAACTCTCCCTCCCCTCAGCAGGGCAGCACCGTGCCCCCGGACCACAACAGCATCATGGGAAAGGGCAGAAGTCAAGGTGCGGCCATTAATTAAGCCCTTTCCCTTAGTTTGTGTTGAGGTGCAGATTTAAATAGAAACTACTAGGGATGCGACAGCTATGGGTGTTAATTATATACTGCAGTATAACGTCTAATGACAGAGAAGCTCGCCAACTCAGATTTCATAACGGTGGTGGTGACAGGAACAAGGGCTCACAATGCCTACAGCATAAATATAACTTTATATTTAAATAAATAAATAAAATTTAAATAAATATAACCGTTTTATTTACTATCCCAAATGACCAGTGAACCTACTTGTCTTCTAAGGTTTTATATATAGTTTTGATAGTGGTGAAATAGTGGCAGATCCAAGAAAACAAGTTTTGTAAAGGACTAAACTTGTATAACTACCTCCATATACCCCTCCACCATGAATGTATTTTAAAATATACATTTTAGGCCAAAAGCTTCTATCATAAAACAGTGTCCCATGCATCATGCAGTGTATTTGTTAATATTTCATGAAATAGCTTTCTCTGAGGAAGCTCTTTGAAGACTTTTAATATGTTCAACATCTGATTCCTATCACCACCACTGAGAGCAGTTCTAACTCTAGAAAAGTTTCACTAGGATGGTGTGTGAATGACTTACATCTTAACCATTCAGTGATGCAGATATTATGCCAGTACAGCACATACTATAAGTTAGAATTAAACAGTAAAAAAGCAGCATTGCTGATAATTTAATTTCATTTTTTTATTATTGTAAATCTGTTGTAAAGAAATACAAGAGGTGCAATAAACAGTCTATCCAAAAAAAACCAAACAAACAAACAAAAATGCATTGTAAGGGACTATTTTGCTTTATAACGGCCTTCTTCTACCTTCATATTTGACAATTTAACAACCCTGACAATTTTGATAATACCCCAAAGAAACTCTTACATATGTCTTAAAAGGAAAAGTTTCACACCGTTCTATCTCTCATACCTGCCCTGAAGTGCGATGCCAAATTTAAACACAAAGGTGGTCTAAAGAAATTGCTCAATGACTCATCACCTCCACTGCTCGTTAATGCCGGCACTTAAAGCACTATATGTGGGCTTTGCTATAAAAAGCCCTTTATATTCAGTGACTTGCTTCGGTGAAAAAAACCCTCACTCTCTTGAATTCTCCACACATATATGACATTTTCTTCAATCTGGCTCCAGGTGAAATAACACAAGTTCATTTTCTCAAACAGCCATACTTCAAATTCACGAACTACTTGCTCCAGGGAAAGCGTTCTCTTCCAGATTCTTTCTGTTGCCTTGTGGAAAGGAAAACTGTTAGAAATCAAACCTCAAAAGAGAGGCAGTGATGAGTTGTGACTCTAATGGCCCAAGGCTGTGGAGAGGACAGGCCAGCTATGGAACGCCCTCTAACACATTCAGAAATGAGCAACCATCACAGAACAGGGCACAGCCTTTCTGCTCATTAAGCTCAGCTTGAAGGGTCAGTTTTAGTGTCCAGCTTATGCTGCTGGTTTGACAAAGTGTCGGTGCTGTTACCACTGCTTGAAATTGATGTTTATTGTTAATTTTATCTCTACAAACCTGAAAGTGAACCAAAACAAACTTTGTCAGCCAAAACAATTGGTTGAAAAAGCCAGTGACTTGGAAGCTTTTGGGGGGAAATGGCTCTGGACCATAAAAAGGCTGAAGTTTTGAATGACAGTGACAACAAAAAGAGTGGAACTAAAAAGCATCTAAAACTTACCTAGAACTTCCAAAGTGTGGGAGTTTTTAATCCACAATAGTTACAATGTGGTAGATTAGTTATTGAAAGGAACATAGTCAGTAGGTTAACCATTTACACACACAGCATATCTCTGACACATATAAGGTCAGTTTTATAATTAGTGTCACCTTTGGTTAAGATGTGTAAAATAAGTTTAATAGCAATTTCAGACTGAAATTATGTGAGAAATGAAATAAATTTAGTCTAAGAAATTAAAAACCCTTATATAGAATGAATAAAACTCTTATAAACATAATGTAACTAAGGCAGGTTCCCATCTATTTTTAACATTCTTTAAGCTCAAAGTATAAGTACGAGGCAACACTGAAGCTAAATTTCCTTCATTATTCATTAACATAGGGAAGATTAGAAAACACATTACACATTAGGGAATACACAAATGAAATCAGGAAGTGGCCATTAATATTAGCTAGACACTTGTTCCACTGTTGGGACAATGATTAAGAAGTTTAAAACAACCAGAGCTGTAGTGAATCTGCCTGGAAGAGATTGCATGTTTATTTTTCCTCCACGCAGTGTAAGGTGGAGGGTTAGAGAGACAAACATTTTTGGAGATTTGTAGAAGGTGGTAGTATTTTGAGGTCACCAAGCCTCTACATCTATATTAAGTAGTTAGAAAGTATTCCGACGGCATGCTAGAAGTCTTTTGGACTGTCTCTACCAAAAGCTAAACCTGTGTTGTGGTTGGATCATTCAGCAGGACAGTGATCCAAAACATTCATCCAAATCCACACAAAACTGGTTAATTGACCACAGAATCAAACTTTTGACATGACCATCACAGTCTCCTGACTTAAACTCCACTGAAAACCTGTGCAGTAAGTTGAAAAGGATAGTCCAAAGGAGAAGATCTAGAACCCTGGAGGATCTGAAGAGATTCTATATTGAGGAGTGGTCTCCATGGTGATTGCTTGCTCTGAATTATCCAATTTCATCAAGCATTTTTGGAGAAGAGTTTTTGCTGTTATGTTGAGATTTTTTCATGGGAAATTGAGGAGAAAACATTAAATATCCATTTAATGTCCGAGATGAAGACCAGCTTTACTGTGCTGTCACGACTAGAGCCTCAATAAATGTCACAACCTGAGGTTCAGCTCAGCTTTTTCAGTACTTCAGTATTTGCCAGATTAACTTTGACAGGTTTTGTTCCAGTCAGTCTGTAAAGCATTTCACAGCCTGTCTTGTTTGCTGAACTGGTTAGTTGCTGTACCATCGCAGTAGAAACGTACTAATGGTTAGCTGCAAAACGGTCATAACT